GGCAGCGGATTGAGCAAGGGTGGGTCCCCAGCCAAGGCTGGAGCGCTGTCAGGCGTGGGAAGCGCTGCTCCGTCCCAGCTAACCCTGCCCTCTCGCTCCGCACCACATTTCTGGCTCTTGCTGCTTTTGGCAGAAAATTCGCGTTCTCATCACCCCTCTCCTCCCCTCGGCCGTGTCCGGCTGCAGCATCTCCCCTCGGTCACTTCTCGGCGTCTCCTCCCGCCGGCGCAGGAGGTTCTCCCACCGCTCTGAGCTGGGGGGGCCGCCAGGAGCCACGGCGGAGACGCGGCTGGGAAACCCATCGTCCGCAGGAGGGAAAAGGAGCCCAGGCTGCTGCCGGTCGTGCTGCGAGAAGGAACGGAGGAAGGTAAATGCCAGCCTTTTGGTCCAGCTGGGAAGAGAGTAACTTTGCTGCTGAAAACGGGGGAGCGACTGCAGCTCCCTGGGAACAGGAGGGATGGCTGAGCTGAGCTTTTCCCATGGGGTTCCCTTAAATAAGCCCCAGTCCTAAAAATAAGCAGGGAAAGTCGCTGCAGAGAGGAAGCGATGTGGTGACGCTCCCAGCGAAAGGCGTCTCGTTTGTTTCCAAGTTAGCAAGATGCTTTCTGCAGCATCCCCCGAAGGAGGATTTGCAGCACTCCGGCTTTCCCTGCCGTGCGTCCGCGTTTTCCTCCCTGCGGGGAGCCCGGTGCCGGTCCCACCTGGAGCTGGGGGCTCTGCTGTCATGGGGCTCTGCGGGTGTCACCCCCTGCGGGCAGGGACCCTGCTGCCGTGTCGGTGGGGTGGTACCAGCTTCTCCTGGGTGACTTACCCAAGTCTGGTGTCTGAGGGAGTCATGGACGCCGGGTACCCCACTTCTACCCGTCCCGAGGTGCTGAGCTGTGCCGGGCACTCGGCTCTGCTGCATCCCACGCTTGTCACTGCATCCCGTGCTGTCACTGCATCCCATGCTGTCACTGCATCCTGTGCTGTCACCACATCCCGTGCTGTCACTGCATCCTGTGCTGTCACTGCGTCCCACGCTTGTCACCTCATCCCGTGCTTGTCACCACATCCCACACTTGTCACTGCATCCCGTGCT